GACAGTTCGTATGGAGATTTGGATTAAATTAAAAATATGATTTTCATAGTGTTAGTTTTTTAACTTAGTTTTGACAGTTTGGAGTTTATAAATTCAGATTCTTTGAAATAACAGAAGTAATGGGCTTCGTCTGTATTTATATTCTGTTTTAGACAATATTGGTTTTGGCTCGCATTTGTTATTATTATTTTTTTTTGATGTTTTATTAAGATAATTTGTGTGAATAAGCCATTTTAAGATAATTTTTTTCTTCTGATCTTAGTTTAAAACAGTTTGTCCTAATTTGTGTACTGACTTTTTTTTAACTCAGCCTCGGAGAGGTTTACAACAGCAATCTACTTGAATCTACTTGAAGCTACTCCTATGAATCGAAGTGCAGTGCGGGTATTTAAAGTGCAGGTATTTAAAGAACAGGTATTTAAAGACTGGAAATGTAAAAGACTGGAAAAGAAAATATATGAAGTAAATGACTGGTTTGTATGATCTGAGTCCGTCCTTTTTTCTGGGGGCTGCCCTGCTATTTATACTCGTCAGTGATGACCTTCGAACTGCACTTCGAACCGTCGAACTGCTCCTCCATGATCGCTGATCATGCTTCCTTACAAGTAGCTCCACTACGCCATTGCTGGCAGTTGAGCTTCCCTCTTGTATTTAAATTTGAATATGAGTAACCGTTGAAGCTATGTCATCTTGCATCCCGTTATTGATCAAGTGTTACTCAGATCATGTGAGAACCAATATTTATTGCCACGTGTACGATCAGGATTGAAGGCTTGAATAACCTTCCTTTATTACCCTTATTCTGCCACGTGTCAAACTGTAACTGGCTTTTACAAAATATGTAGCCAACAATATCTCTTCTAAATAATTGTTATTTTTTTTATTTTAATCCTAAATTATGCTAATTTCATCACTGAAAATTAATATTTTAGGTGTCATTTGATTCGTGTGCTTCACTAGTCCTGCCACGTGTGCAGATGGTGCTATATATGTATGCCTACTAATGAAAAATGCTTTGGACCCCCAGGTAAGCCGACCCCCACCCACTCCCAGTTGATGTGGACAATCACATGATATTCACGTGCACCTTCAGCCTACGCACCTTCTCTTTCTCTCTCCTCATTCAAAAGTCATTCAAAATCTGATTTCATTATAGGTCTCTCATCTCTCTCTCCCTCCATTACCTGACTCCGACGAAGGACACTCGACTCCGTCCTTCCCTTGACTCCTACAAAGGACGCTCGGCTCTCTCTCTTTCTTTCCCTCTTCCTCCCTTGACTCCAACGAAGGATGACTAAGAAGTAACTCCCAAAAGAACACTTACAACAACGTACAACTTAGCTCAAGACCCACGGCCACCACCATGGAAGCCTTGTCCATAATTTCAACACTCCCCAGTTGATCCAACTGTCCCCAAACAAACACAGTCAACATAAATGCCGGCAACGCCATGACTTCTGGCGAATTGATTTTGATTTTGATTTTGATTTTTTCTTCTTTTTTTTCTATGCTTCTCTTTCTCCTTTTGTTTTCTTCACTAGTTCAACAAATTCAATCAACAATAGCCAGATCAAAAACCCATTAATATGTACCAGTATACTATAGCAAACCCATTTGCCAATGTATAGCAATTTCAATATAATCTAATAAAAATACTGAGGATTAAAATGCATTTGAGGTTTAAATTGCAACAATTTATGGGAAATAAGTCTCATAAAGACTACCATTGCTCCTTTTCCTATCATTTCGACGCCAATGCCAAAAAAAATTTAACCTTTCGTCGGAGACACTTGAAACCCCTTCAAAATTCTATCCTAGCGGTGATCTCGATCTCGATCGCAGTGCTCGTGAGAGAGAGAAACCAGAGATGGAGGAAGGCGCCAGAGATGCAGGAGAGAGAGACGCCAGAGATAGAGGAGATGAAGGTCACTAAAGACAGAGGAGGAGGGAGAAGGAGGAGAGCTCTGTATTCTTTTTGGGCAATAATGACACCCTTTTGTTTTGTTCTTCTACTTCTTTTTTTTTTTTTTTTCCTTTTTTCTTTTTTTTTAACCAGTGAGTGCATACACACATTGTAGTTGCAAAACTTCTTTGAAAGTGTGTAACCATCTCTACGTCATTGGGGGTCTGGGGTGATATTTGAGTGGGGGTCTGTAGCGGGACTGGCCAACTAATATTATTTTCACAATTTCATATTCAAAATGAATTCAATGGAACACTTTTAAGTGCTCCTGCTTTTTTTCTTTTTCAATGGGAGACAAATTTTCAAGGAAAAGTTAATCTAATATTCCTTTCTAATTTTTAGTAATGGACGATTTATAATATATTTTTTTTGTAGTTTAAAGCCCCTCAGTCATATATTCTCTCATCTCTCTCCCTCAACCTCTCTTTTCTCTCTTCATGATTGTCCAACATTTGGCCGGCACCGGTGATCATGTTCTTGACGTAGTCGGCGTGGCTAGGGCAATTCACATCTCTCTCTCTCTCTCTCTCTCTCTCTCTCTCTCTCTTTCTATACTGATTTTGTCATGGTTAGGATATTATTTACAACATACAAAAAAAGAAAGTCGTAAAAGTAAAAAAATACGATTTGCATTTATTGTATGTCGTTGATGTAATGTCATAAAAACCCAATTTTGTTGTAGTGAAAAATAATGTTGATTAGATTAATTTGTCCAAATTGACACCCATTGTTGTTGATGATCCTGAACTTGCATTTGTCCTCATATTCTTTTTCTTCTTCTTCTTCTTCTGCTGTTGTTGTTGTTAAAATTCAAGCAGAGCGAACAATCAGAGAAGGTCCTAGACACGATTGGACTCATGATGAAACCAAGTCTATCTGCGACTCCCCTCTTCTCGATCTTCTTTTCTTTGGGTTAGTATATTCTCTCTCTCTCTCTCTAAATTCTTCTTGTTTGTGTGATATCTTGTTTGGTTACCTAGAAAGCTAAAAAGAAAAAGAAATGTTACTTGAGAAAATTAGAAAAAGCTCAATTGGAACTCGATTCATAAAATAAAAAAATTGAAATTTTGGCACCTAGTTGGTTTTGCGATGAAGAAACAACAACAAACTATTTGAGTTTTCATTATAAAAAAAATGGTTGATTAAGTAACCCAAATTTTAAATTGCAAGATGGGTGATCATGTACAACAATAAACTTACGACTGTAACGGAATTTGGATGAGGGGATTGTGATGTGAGCAAATCAGATTGAAAGTTGTTTGAGCAAATTAGATTGAATTTTCTCTGGATTGTGTGAATTTTCCCTAGATGTGAGAACTGTGTCAATTTTTTCTCGTTGTAGTCATTGTTTGTAATTTTGTGAATTTTCTCTAGCTGTGGTCACTGTATGAATTTTCTCTGACTATGGTTAGTGTGTGAATTTTCTTAAACACTGTGGGATTGTGATGTGTCTAGAGAAATTTCAATGAAAATGTCCAGAGAAATTCTAAACATGAACATACTAATACACTTAGAGAAATTCTAAGAGGATTTTGATGTGTATAGAGAAATTTCAAGCATGAACACACAAACACACTTAGCGAAATTTCTCTGAAAAAATGTTGAGGGACCCCAAGCACTATGAAAATATTACATATCTTTTATCCTATAAAATTTTAATACCAAGGACCTTAAAAAAAATTTCCATTTTTAAAATTTGTTTCAAATTTTCTTTTGGCAAACTACGAAGATTTTTGAAAATTCATAAAACTTTGAATTTAATTTAAAAAATTTCCCAACAGATTATTCAAATAAGAAATTATATTGATCAATAGTCAATAATTATACGATATCATTATATTTTTATTTTGAAAAATAAATAAAAAATATAAATTTAAAATTATTTTTTTATTTCTTTAAATCTATATATGGTTGAAAAATAGTAGTGTCTTTGCTTTTACTTTTAGATCTGAATCAAGCTTTCCAGCCAAACCAAGCAGCAATGTGGTTTTCCCAGAACTTGGAGGACCTAAAAGCAATGTCATTCTGCCAAAAAAAAAAAAAAAAATTATCAAAGTGAGGTCTATAATAAGCCCATGAACCAATTAAGTCCAACAATCCAATTTCTTATAAATAAACCATTTGAGTAGGGCTTGAGGTGCATCCACATGTCCAAACTAACCAGTTTAGTCCATCATGTGAATTTGAGATAATCTAATCATTGTAAATAAATTATATATATAAATATATAAAAAATAAAAAATATATATACATTTTTAATTATAGGATTATTATGTTTTAATCCTTGTAACCATTATGTTTTTTGGTAGAATTTTTGGTCATTCTCTTGAGATTTCTAGCATTTTTATATTTTGTTTTTTTAGTTTGACCCACAATGATACGACATGTTAGGGTTAATTTTATTTGTCACAACTTACTCAATCCTATTACTACATCATTACAAGTGAATTGTAAGATCTAAATCTATCATTTCTACAAAAATGAAGAATTATGATAATAGATTCGTTTAGGATGTGAGTTAGCTTTTTTGTTTTATGACTTTCTGAATATTTTAACCTGAGGCTAAAAAGTCTCATTTGGAATTGCCTTTTTGATTTTTTTGACTTTTGTGAGGAAAAAAATAATAATTATGGTTTAGATATGACATTTTATCTTACTGACTTTTTAACCTATTTTATCTTTTTGTGACGAAAATAGTCAAACAACCACCCAACTCTTTATGCCAAACGAGTGCAATATTGCACTTTTGGAAAACAACATCTCAATGGACATTTAGAAAAATTAATTACAAATCAGTAATAATTTATATAAATGTTAATAATTAAAATTTTAAATTTTTTCATAAATTTGTAATAATTTTGTGAAACTACCACAGGTGATTCCCCCTTATACTTTAACCACTCAGGCTTCCTCGGTGAGAGAAAGAGTGAAAAAAATTATCGAATAATACTAGAGATCGTGAAAAAAATATCATAAAATGTTTCATGAAAATTTTTCATCCCTTGATTAGTGTGTGGTGTTTTCTTGTATGTGTAATCTAATGATGGAGAATCTTTCATGATTATTTTCATAATATTTTTTTCATGATACGTACTGTTAGTCTATAATATTTTATCATAGACTAATACTATGTTTAGTTTATTAGTAAGAGAGAAATAAAAAAAATTACTCTGATAAATTGGGAAACATCAAGGCTTGTTCAACTGAGTTGAGTTGCTGAATGATTTGAAAGAAGACTTGCTCACCTTCCAATCATCTTCACCACCACATAAATATGAGACGACTCTGGGCAACTCATCTTCTTCGTCATTTGGGTTCTATTTTTACATTTCATGACTGCCACTTGCTAGAGCCAATACACTGCTTTCGCTTTCGTTGGAGCTAAAAATGTCCAGCTCATGTGCCTCGCGAGGAGGAGAAAAGAAGACAGGCTTTGGAGGCATTTCAATGGCTTCCACATTGCCAGCCAACATTTCCACCACTCTTGTCATGGAGGGACCATCTTTCGGATTTATTTGGATGCACCATAGGCCGACCTTGAGTATCTTCCTCGCTATGTACACATCCTCTCCAACAACAGAATCTTCAAGCTCCATAAGCTCCCTTTCTTCATCAAGTATGAGTTTGTCATAAACCCAACCAGGAAAGTAAGCGTCACTTGAAGTGTTCACATCTGATTCGACATGCTTTTTCGTACCAACCATTTCTAGTAACAGCATTCCAAAGCTGTAAACATCGGATTTGTGAGAAGGTTTACCAAGATTTCTTAAGAAGATCTCAGGAGCAATATAACCAATGGTTCCTCTTGTTCCTGTCATTGTGACTGCACTTTGATTTCGAGAGTATACTTTTGCCAATCCAAAGTCTGAAATTTTAGGATTGAAATTCTGGTCCAGCAACACATTCTGAGGCTTTATATCAAGACGTAAGATTCGCGAGTCACAACCGTTGTGCAAATACTCTATTCCATGTGCAACTCCTATGGCAATTTCAAGTAATCGTGCCAATCCTAATGAAACACGTACATCTTCTTGATGTAATAAATCACCTAATGAATTGTTAGGCATGTACTCATAAATAAGAGCTTGTCTCGAGCCATCCCAACAGAAGCCTACTAAGCGTACAACGTTAACATGGTGAATCCTACCAATGGTGGTGATTTCGTTAAGGAAATTTTCGCTATTGTCTCTACAATTCATGAGCATTTTGACAGCAATGAGCCGACTATCTGAAGACAGCTTTCCTTTGAAGACATTGCCATAGGCACCTTCCCCTAATTTTTCTTTGAAGTTGTCAGTCATCTTCTTTATATCATTGTATGAGTAGTTTGTTAATAAGGTTGATTGGTAACTCTTAATGAACTCCTTTGCGTTTCTTTCATCTCCTGTTGTTTGATTCTTTCCAAAATATGATGGCTTGAAGATTGCAGCTGTTCTCCTTTTGTACTTGAACATGAGCAGTAAGACTACAGCAAGCAGAGCGCAAATGCTTCCAGTTGCAATACCTACAGAAAGCTAAAATAATGATGAATTAATGGCCTGTTTGGTGCAGTTTATTATGAACTAAACACCAATAATCGAAAAGTATAAGCTAAATGCATTTCTCTCCCAACTTCTTAATAATAAACTTTTTTTCCAGAAATGGCAGCAAACATTGGCACAAATTCCCAAAATGACAAAAAACTGTAAGCAACCCTAATAATCTGCACCAAACAACTCCTAAATACACAATGAAAGGATTAAATCTTGTTATGAATCCATTATGGCATCATATGTCTCAATCTCATAAATCAAGTTCAATGTTGATTCATGCTGCCTCAATGAAATTCCGTTGCCCAAGTGATAATAAGACATCATTTATAACAGGGGTCAGTTTGGCATGAATGACTACTTCCATTAGAATGTTGGTCTATTGATGCAGAAATGAATGATTGGTTGCTAAACACAAGATGATGAATTCTGGCTGCGTTGTTGCCAGAGAAATAGGCTCGAAACAACATTGTAGCATTATGAGATGCTTTGGGTTAAGTTGAATTTCAATATTTGCCAAATATTGGTTTTTCTTCAAGAACGAGGATATACCTCCGATGAGCTTCCATCTATTTGATTTTTTTTGCCTTCAAGGTTGAAGGATGGAATGTAATGAGTAAACAATATTTTGAGAGTAGGTAGAAATGAGGCTTGAAAGTTCTGTTCTTATTCAACAAAAGTGATAAATTATTCATGGACAAGAAAATAAGAGAAAAAAGCTGCATGACAAGGTTTTAGGAATTCAAGGTCAACAAACCATGCAATTAAAATCTAAATAAACCTCAGGTAAAGAAAATTGAGCATTTATAGTTCTAAAGAAATGGATCCATCTAAACCAACTTCAAGTGATTGGGACTAAGGTTAAGTGTCTAGCAAAGAGTAGAATAGACTTATTTATCATTATTGGCACAAAAATGCCTGAAATCACCATCACTCTTCAACTCAATTAAGCATTTTGCTCGTTTGCAACATTGTTTAATAAAAGTCATCAATTTTAATTCTCATGTGGGCAATGCAAGTACACTTATTAAACTGATAGTACCATTTTTCTCCCCACATGTTTTAGAGGCAAACAGGTTGTGGAATTGACCCGTTCCTTCTTTCTCATCCATGTGAAATTGTTACACTACTAGTCTTTAATTTTTCGCATCTTACAGTATGCCATTTTATCTTTGAAAAATGTCAGATGCAGATCTGTTGGCTGATAAAAACAACAAAGTATGGAAGTGCTAAAAATAAACCAAAGGGATAAGAAAGTCATAATTATATAATTAATGTTAATATACCTAATTGGTGCATACTGGATAAATTTAACAAATTTGATAATCGGTGTTGCTCAATTTCAAACGACTTTAATAGCTTTACAAAATAAGTCCACAAATTAATATAAGAATTTCAACATTGTTTATGCACCAGAATTATAACGTGCGCTAGGAAATATGATATTGCGTGCAAAACTCAAACTCTTTCTTTCTTTCTTTCTCTTATTATTATATTATTATTATGTTTTACAATAGGTAGAAGGAGAATATGGGAAAGTGAAGTTACGATTGTAACAGTCAGACTTGGACTCCATAATAAGGAAGCACCTTATCTACAATGGGTTCACCTAGGGTGAAAATAATAAGAATACCACTGGCGATTCCGATATATTGAATCCATGCCCACAAAAACATCTTTTAATATACGAAGAAAGTTTATAAATTGATTCTTCGTCGTAACTATAGCATGCAATAATAAAAATTTAAAATTTAAGATAAGAGAATATGATTGGAATAACTCATGTTAAGTGGTTTAATATCTAGGAAGCACGGGTACTGGTACAATATGGGTACGTCAATACGATAAAATCCAAGAAAAGTAGAGTACGGATACGGTTTGGTACAGCAATGCAAAAATTAATTTAATGGTTTAATTTGTTAAAATTCAACCTACAATTAACATTTAATGTCAAAAGTAAAGGTATAAATCAAAATTAAATGTTAATATATTTTACAAATCATAGTTTAATTTTAAAAACATGCTAAAAAACTAAAAATAAAAAAAGAAATCTAATGAAAGGAGTTTTATGTCTATAGTAGAATAAAATATTGTTTCAACTGAAGTACGGTACGGCTTAAGTATATAGTAGATACGTATGGATATGCCAAAAATTAAGAAGAAAAAATTTAGGTACGTGTTTTTGTACCCGGTACATATGCAGAAGTACCATACGAGGTATTACACGTCGGTAACTACCCGGTACAGATACGCCATATTTTTTGAACTATCCATATTTCATCGATTAATATGTGTGATGTAGACTAAATAAACGAAAGGAAAATTACACCGATCTCCTCTGATAGTTGCTTAAATTATAGCTCAATGATCCCATTAGTTTGGAGAAATTACACTGCTCTCGCCTGACATGTTACACTTCACCCCACTCTTTAGGGATACATCAAAGAGCTGCATAGAATAGTATGATAGCATCAATTTTTATTTTGAATTTCCTCATTTACCCTTAATTTTCTAAATGGGTTAAACAAACAGATCAACCATTTTTTCCACTTCTCTCCCTCTCTCCCTCTCTCTCCCTTACCATTCTCTCTTGCCCCAAATTCCTCCTCTTTTTATAAAACAAACACTCTGTCAAACTCTAACCCAGTAATGGCCATGACCACCGCTCGCCTCCGCCAACATAATCACAAATTGTTGTGGTTATGGCCTTTCTTGTAACCCATCATCATAACAGGCATCAATGAAAACGAATCTTGTGGATCAAGAGAAAAGATGAAGATGGCAGTGGCAATGCTTGCGGTTATGGGGTTTGGTAGTTGTCACCCAAGTCGTTTGTCCTTGACTCATCATCTCCCCTCTCTTCTCCCTGCCTCATTATTGGTGTCACCATTGGTGGCTTGAAGGGGTGGAACTAGGATTTTAACTCGAGGGGAGCCATATATTTTCGTAGTAAAATGATTTTCTCCCGACTCCTATCAAGTCTCACTGAAAGAGATTTCAAAGTGCTATTGATGTTTAGATTTTTTCATGTTGCCTTTTGTTATTTTTGACACTTCAGTTAGATATATATATATTTTTTTGTTGGAATCTAAACTTAATACAATTCATGTGCTTGTATGAGAGGCTAGGCATAGGGTTATCTGACCCGTACAATCCGCCTTACCCGACCTGACTTGCACACGTATAGACGGTTTCACAAATACAATAGGATAGGGTGCGGTTTGAAATATAGTAAGTTTTTGGGTTGCGGGTTTGAATCGCACCCGCTACAACTTGCCCGAACTTAAAATATTTTATTTTTTATTTTTTCTTAAAAAAAAAACCTGGACCGTTCATCTATGATCTATCCTAGATATGTTGTTTTGACCAAACAAACCAAACCCTAATCCTAATTTGAGAAATCTGCGTAGCTCTCTTCTTCTCACTCATTTCATTTCCCATCTCTTTCGTTCTTTCATCTTTCTCTCTCTCTGTGGCGACCAGAACCAGCGAAAGGAGCGACCGATCGACCTTCGCAAGATCCTCTCTCTCTCTGACAACTCTTAGGTAAGCGTCTCTCTCTATCTCTCTCCCCGATCTTTGATTTTTTTTTAGGCAATCAGATTTGTCTCTCACTGTGCGCAGCCTCTCTTCTAATCTCACTCTCTCGTTCTTCCATCTCTCTCTTTCTGTGTTGACTGGCAAAGCGACCGATTGACCTTTGCAAGATCGACTTTGCTCTGCAACTCTCTCTCTCTCCCCGATCCTTATTTTTTTTAGGCAATCAGATTTGTCTGTCTCTCTCTCTTTGGTCTCTAAATTTTTTTTGTTATGCAATTAGATGTGTGGCAACAGATCTATGAGTTTATTTGTTTATTTTTGTTTGTGTGACTAAGATTCTGTTTCAAATGGTGATTAAGATTTTGGAAATTGAATTCAAAGTGGAAATTGAATCTTTTAATTCTTTGAGTTTATTGAATGTATTGGAAATTAATTGAATCTATTATTGGAATTAAATCTGTTATTGAATCTGTGTTAAATCTAAGAGTTGAAATTAAATCTGTGTTATTGGAATTAAATTTGTGTTATTGAATCTGTGTTATTGGAATTAAATCTGTTATTGAATCTATGTCAGAAGTGGAAATTAAATCTGTTATTAAAATTTTAAATTGAATCTGTTATTAATTTTTTTTTTGAAGGGTGATTGAATCTGTTATTAAATTAAATATGTTATTGAATCTGTTATTAAATCTGTTATGTTATTGAAATTGAATATGTAATCGTGTTGAATCTGTAATTAAAATTGAATCTATAATTGTGTTGAATCTGTAATTATGTTATTGAAATTGAATCTATAATCTGTTGCGTTATTGAAATTGAATCTGTAATTTTGTAATCCAGTTTAAATAGAGGATAGTGTTGGATTTCTCACAATCAATCTTTTATCTCCGGAATCCTCTAATTCTCAAATGAATCCCCCTTTAGCCAAACCTAAACCTGAACCTAAGCCTCCTAGACCCCCAAAGAGAAAAAATGAGGGTAGAGGGGGGAGAGCACCATCCACAGTTTGGGATCATTTTAATAAGGTTGTAGGGACCGATGGGAAGTGTAGAACCGTATGCAAATATAGCAAGAAACAGAATTTGGCTGACTCTAGACTTTATGGGACTAGCAATTTAAGGAGTCATACACCCAATTGTAAAGAATATCTAAATAGGGATACAGATGATTAACAAACATTAAATCTTAAATCGAAACAAAATAAAGAGGGTGTTGAGGTTGTAGCAACAACTTTTAATTTTGATGCTAGTAAAAAGTCTCTTGTGGAGATGGTAGTCATTGATAAGTTGTCATTTAGATTTGTGAAGGAAGTTGGATTTAGAAGGTTTTGTAATGTCATGCAACCCAAATTCACACCAATTCCCTCTCATCAAACCATATCTAAAGAAGTGCTTAATATATTCAAGAATGAAAGGGATAAGTTAAAAACGGCCATGTATAGTTGAAATTCTTGTATGTACTCAAAATTGGCTTCAAAGCAACCTTCCAATTTCTCTTCAAAAGGCGATGGATGATGTGGAGGAATTTGAGCAATATGACTGAGGTAATATGAGAATTTATTTATCTTCATTTTTCTTTGTATTGTTTATTTTTTAATATAAGTTTTATTAATCTTCTCTTGTTAACTCCTAATTAGGTACTTTGGAGTCAAACTCATTTTCAAGTTCAACCTATAATGTTGATGCTATAATTGAACTTGAATATCCATTTGCTCATTGGTAATTTTTCATATACTCAACACATTTTCTTACTATATTGAGATACAATATATAGACATTTATTTATCTTTTCATTACTTTATTCTTTTACACTTTTTTTGTTAAAGGGATTATGAAGATTGAAGATTAAAGTTTATATTTGTCAGTTTGTTTTTGCGTAGGGTTCATCAACCAAGTGTATGGAATTAAAATTTTTGAAAGTTGGATTGGAAGTGATTCATGATGAAGTTTGAGATCTTGCAAGTGTTTTTATTTTATTTCATAGGTTTGAATTGAATCAAGTTTGATAACAAATTTTTTTTTTTTTTAAATTGCATTTTGGATGAATG